GCCGCGGAGGGCGGCGAGCCCCTTACCTGGCGCTGCTCGGGAGCCCGACGGGCTGGGTGGCCCAGGGAGGGGAAAGGGTCGGGGGAGGGGGCGGGGAAAGGGGGGAGCCCTGGAGAGGTGAAGCTTCGGAGCCGCTCCCGCCGCTGCCACGGCCGCCGCCTCCTTTCCGATTCACTCAAACAAACAAGATGGCGGCCGTTACGCCGAGGCTCTTCCTGCCGCCCAAATCCTCGGTTCAAATCGGCAGGATGTTTACGGTCAAAATGGTCCTCGTGCGCATGCGCAGCCAGTCTGCCACTCAGAAGGAGCGACGCAGGCGCAATGGTCATTTCCTTCTCTTTAGACCCGCCCCCGGCTGGGAAGCCGCGAACCGCGCAGGCGCAGAGGTGATTCTTGGGCCAGAGAGCGCGGACCTGGCAAACAGCGCACGCGCATTCTTCCCGCTGCAGTGTTGGGTCTCAGTTTTGCGCTTGTCCCAAAGAGCTGTCATAGTACAATTTTGCGTGCGCCCGACATCAACAAAAATCATATAATGGGCTTTATAACGACAAAGGACACAGACAAACCTTAAACTAGCTCCATAAAATGTAGGGATTCATTCATTCAACCTATATTTATAGGGTCTTCTCTTTGCCCCAGGGCATCACTGAGCTAATCCCCGCCCTCTGGCAGTTTGTGGACTATCTAGGGAGGAGTCGCAAGGCTTTTACAAGTGCTTATTTTTACTATGAAGAACAGGTATGGATGGAGAAATCGTCACACTGCCTGGTTTACACTCAGCTTTGAACTCTGAGCCTCTTCCTGTGCAAGGACTTTCCTACAGTGTTTTTTTTCACATATTGTGCGCTCCCAGCCCCATAAATCTGCTGAGTTTGGTTCCTTTGAAACGATGAATGCTCCCAGCATCCCATCCTATCAACAAATCATTCATCTCTTTGTACTAAGATATCAAGTCACATTTCTCATTGCAGCATTTGGCCATTGACTGTCTCCTGCTTGCAAATATCTTGTGAATGTCTGCTTTAGTAATTGTGAACTTGTTGAACTGGAGCCATGACAGGGTGACTGTAAATTAGAGCGTCAGTCTTTCTTAGTCCACTATCTGGACTGTCCTCCTAAATAAAGAAGAAGATAGGGTGAAAAGGGGGAGAACTCGGGATGGAGCATTGCCTGCAGGCTGGTAGTTGTCAGAGTTTGGGAATTCAGAGCTTGAGAGCGATACGGGGAAATGAAACTCCTAACCTGAAAGGTACCTGGGATGAGTCGGTGTTCTCTAAAACCGAAGAATGAGTTTTAGGAGCAAAGGGAGTTCGAAAGCAGAATGTATTTATTGGGGGGAAAGAAAGCTTCTGTCTGAGAGAAGGACAGAAGGGGAACTTTAGGGGGCTGCCCGGGAATCTGCCATTTCTAGGGATTTTTATAGAGTCAAACCATGTGGTGATGCAAGTCTAAGGTGACAAACATGGGAACTCTCTTAGGTGGGCATAAGGTGGGACAAAACTATAGTCAACCAATAGGGTTACAAGCTCTATTGCTCAGGTAAAATTGATTAAACCCAGGATCAAATGAGGCTGGTAGTTGTCAAAGTTTGGGAATTCAGAGATTGGGAGTATATAGACGATTATTTTTAATTTTCTCTCCTTCGTTTGTGTCTCTTTTTCTACTTCGGTGTAAGTTTACTATAGAAAATTCCTATAAGAAAAAGTTTTTAAAAATGGGACTACAGAGATTCACAGCATTTACTCTAGGTCACTTGCAGACATCCATTCAATGAGTTATTCATCACTGATACCAACAAACGCATGAACTGGAAATAGGATTGTTCATTCCTTTTTCTAACAGCACAAGCTAATGAACTTGGCTATTTGCTGTCCAGAGCTGCAAAGCAAAACTGCACACAGCGGGCAGGAGAATCCCTTTCATCCTGCTGCACATCACTTCTGCCTACACCCTTCTTTCCTTGCTGGGACACAGTATCTGATCCCCACCAGTTACAGGAAGACAGGCTTATTTGGCTCATGGTTTTTAGAGGCTTCAGCCTGTGTTCAGCAGGCTTAAACACAAACAGTGTGACAGAGGAGCCAAGGTGTGGGACAGCTGCTCACATCTCTGTGGCTGGGAAGCAGAGGGAAGGGACAAGTTCGGTGGGCGATCATCTTCCTGGTCACATCTCCGGTGACCGCCTCTTTCTGCTCAGACCTTACCTTCCAACCTCTCAGTTAGCTCTATGAGACTCATGATCTGGTGAGATTTTATCAACCCCACCTATGACTGCATGAACGTTTGGGACCACATCTAGACAGAACAATGTCTCTCTGATGCCTCTGCTAAGAAAGCCCCATATTGTACCTTCTGACAAAGGGAAAACATTCATACAGTGCAGCTCTTGGACAGCAAAGTAAAATGAAGGTGAATTTGGACCTGAGGGACAATACATTGATAACTGCTATAGATGGTTCAGAGAGGGAAGAGTCCAGAGGAATGATGCTTCAGCAGGAAAAATTCCAGAAGTGGTTGCTTATATACAATGCAGGGTACCAGTGAGTGTGACAACTTTGAGGGCAAAAACTCCACTATGTCTGAACCAAGAAGCAAATAATTAGAAAGTAGATATGCTAAGGTACATCCAAGACTGTACACCAATGTTATTCCCCAAAGGGGAAATTTATCTTGCAACAGACCCAAAGATGTTACTAGAATTAGGCCCTAATTAAGTGGGCAGGTGTCAATACCACATGTTTTAGATAAGAGTTCCTTTGTTAAATGAAGAATTGCAGATGTCAACAGGCAGTTGGCTTGCTATGTTTGTCTTGTGTGTGTGTGGGTTCTGTGGGGAAGGAGCTTTCAGATCGTACCTGGCCTATTTTGGAAGACCCTGAGAAATACGAGTTCTCCCTTTAAGGCCCACATGAGTGCAGAATGCTTTCTGCTGAAAAGATAAATGCTATGGGTAACAGTGGTTTCAAAAGTGCATTGCAAAGATACTTAACAATCTCATGGAACAAGACATCTGGAGAAAATAGCTCCTTAGCAGTTTCAAAGACTCATGTATCACTTGTGTCTTTCTGCTCTGTCACCCTCAGAAGAGTGACTTACTGCTTGGCTGCTGTTGTTGGTGCTCCTTGTTTCAGCATCGCTTTGATGTAGACAAGAAGGAAGGAAGCAAACAGCTGCCACGCGCAGCTACACTCAGCAGATGTCATTGCTATCGTGAGATTTGACATGTTTTTATTGAATCCTTAATTGTATGGCAATTTATCAATCTATGGAATTTAGTCATTAGGTAAACTGTGTACCACCTGGACCCTTTAGTGACTCCTACATGTCCAAATGTGAGGGTTTTCTTTTTTTACACTATACATACCTGAGCAGGGCAAGGTCATGCTCCAATCACCCTATCCTCACGAAATTCTTCCTCCTCGCTGTTTCTTGTACATTCTAGGGGTTTTTCTATTTATTTATATTCACTTCGTGCTATACTTAGAATATTTTGGGGGGTGTGTTTTGAGTCAGGGTCTTGCTGTGTACTTCAGGCTGGCTTGACCTCCCTATGCAAATCACACTGGCCTTGAACTTTCAGTGATCCTCCTGCCTCAGCCTCCCAAATGCTGGGATTATAAGTGTGTGCCCCCAACTCAGGATAATTCTTTTTAAAATCATATATAGATAGATAGATAGATAGATAACAGTATTTTGTGTTGTATTTCTCTGTTGATAAATATTTTTTAAATTGATGTTTATAGATAATAGCAAAGACTTAATTCTTTTTTTCTTATGTATTTGGTTGGTACAGGGTCTCATTATGCAGATCACACTGATAGCGATCCTCCTGTTTTCAGCCTCCCTAGTGTTGCGAGGACAGATGTGCACCACCAGGCCCGACTCTGGCTCTGGCTCAGCTTGCCCCAGGGCGGGGCTGGCACGGCACATGCTAAAGATTGTACTATCTCTTCCACTTGTCTCCTAAATCTAATCAACTATGAATGTAAAATAGTGTAAAACTGTCCCTTTAAATGGCTCTTCCCTGTGTTCGTAGGATCTGGTTTTCATTTCAGCAGTTCATAAATTTAATGTTGACACTGACTGCAAAGAGATGATCTGTTTTTAGCAAATTGTAGGCAATTTCTCATTATCTAATTTATAGCTTCTTGGGGACTACTAATTCCTTCTGGAATAACTTTTTAAATAAGTAGAAAATATAATGTGATAAAGTGTGATGCAACTGACCCAAGTTATTCAATAGTTCTGCCTTAGCTTCTTTTGCATATCCCTGAAAGAATCATGCTTGGCGTACTCATTTTGTAATCTGTGGACTCTGTCTGCTTCCTGCTTTCTATATTGTGGAATTTTCTGTTATTTCTTCAGAGGAAGACCCTGCCCTCAGCTTGTCGCTATAGTGTGGCTCAAATTACGGAAAAGGACTTTACCTCTGTGATATTTTTCTGAGATGGTATTGTCTCCAAAACTGTTTTCAGTTTCAAAAGCAAAATTCACAAAAAATAATGGACTGCAGGGAGAATTTCACTGCTTTAGTACAGTGTGCAAAAGACAGGAAGCAGCAGTCAGCCTCCGATTCTCCCAAATTGCACAAATCTGCTAAATAACTTGAAAAAGAAAAACCATTTTTAGTGAAAAGATTAGAGTGTAATATGTATTGTAAACCCACATTGACTGTTTTATAACCAAAAAGCCATTTTTTTTGTGATTTAATTTGAGTCTCCCAGTGCAACATTTCTTGAAAACTCCTTAAATATCATACATGATTATGCTTCCCACTCAACTATTGAAATACAGGCTTTTCTTCTCTGCTGGGAGCACCTTAAAAAGCATCACTGGTGGGTGCAAATAATTCCAGAAGTAGAGCTGGGCTGGAAATTTTCTGTTAAGTCCATTGTAGAAATCATCTTCCCGAGAGATCAGAGGAAGGAATGTTTTGGACTAAGTAGATTTTAACTGTTGTGAGCCTTTGGAGGAGGAATCTAAAATCATTCTGTGATCTTGTGAAATATGTATTTGGTCTTTGTCCTCATTGCCTGACATACGGCTTCAAACATAGTTGGAATCTTCAAGGTGAAAAGAAACGAGACCTTTCACATGCTAATGCAGTG